ATTCTTAACCTGTGAATGTAGCTGCTTTCTACAATACAGTTTCTCTCCCTTCAGTAAGCAAGTTAATACCACCATGATTTCTTTTAGACTTATAACAACACTCCCATTAGAATGGGCCCTGAGCTCAAAAGGACATTGTGTTGCTTAAAGAATAAGATTTTAAATAAACAGAGCAAAGAGGGAAATAAGGCCAAGTTATGAAGAGCAGGAATTGGAGATGAACAGATAAACAGACAAACTGTCATGCACATTCTGGGAATGGGGCAGAGGAACACCACATACAAGGGGAAAAACAACCCACAAGCCAACAGACTACATAGAAAGAAGCTGGAAATGGGGGGGAAAAAAAACTTGCATCAAAAATGTTTTATTTGGCATAGCAAAATCAGTTCTATATAATCTCTGTGAGGCATGAAACTGCTCCCTAGAATACTGATGACATTACATGCAGTAGCAACCAAAGGGTCTTTCATAGTCAAATATTAATTTTCCAGTTTATTTAAAAGGTAAAGCGTAAGTACATAAGCCTGTTATGATCATGTAAATCTGAAGTTAGTAACGTATCAATATGTAATGGTAAAAGGTAAGAAGTAGTTTATTATTATTTTGTGTGTGCATGTATACAGTAATAATATCAGTTTTCCATATAGATTACCTGAAAGCTGCTCTGGGGCTTACCTCACAAGAATTTTAGATACTGATGCACTGACCCTGTAGAACACTTGATGGAGGTTTTTTGATGCACTATATTTTAGAGCTGCACATACTACCTTGGCCCAGTCAGATCACCAAAAATTACCCAGATGTGTTTATTTTCTATATATTCACAGAAAGTCAAAGCCAAACCCCAAATGAACTCAAGACTGCCAGCTGAGACTTACGATCATCTACATCTTGACTCTTATTTGGTTTTAAAAAAAATTGCCTCTCTTTAAATGCATCACAGAATAAGCAAAGGCAGCAGAAACGTGAAATTAAGGAACACTGTATCCACTACCCTCAATTTTTTCTTGTAGTATATTGCACTTGTAGCCAACTGCTAAATTGTATTTTGGATAGATCTGTTTTGGAAAGGAAGAATCTGAGTACTGACAGAGTATGATGTTAACAAGCAGAATCATACCTGGAACATAGGCTGCAGTTAGGGAAGTCTTATTACAAATGCTCAGTGTCTAAACCTGTAAGCATTTCCCCATCACAGAGTGAGGAATGAACATGTCCTTTTTCCATACTAAAAGCTACCACTACTTGATCTTCTTGATGAACAGTATTATGTGCCTCACTCCTAATGATAACTAAGTGCTATGAACTTTAGCTAGGACTCCCAAAGGGCCAGCTATTTTGGCCATGAAGTTACAAGCTTCCCTAGCCAACTGGAATGCAACTTGATTACCATGTTATGATTAATTAAACTAGCTTGAGATGGTTAAACACACACAGAGCCCATTAGTTTCCATAAAAATCCCTCGATCATCACAGATTACAAACAGATATTGTATTTGCCCCAGGATAATCCATTTTATCCCAGGACAAAATACAAATATTCAGCTGTCCATGTGCATTGTCCTGCAATAAATCTTAAAAAGGCTCACATGATAAGAAGCACTAACAATTTATCCTGGGACATCACAAAGGGCATTGAAATGGTAATCCTGGGACTGCATCACTGAATCAATGGCAAAAAAGGCATCAATACATTCAGCTACTTACTCAACCTTGATTAGAAGGGTGATGTGTGTACACAAGAATCCTGGGATTTTTCTGTTCCAAGACAAACACAGGCACAAATTGTCCAGGGAGGGACAAACGCAACATCTGTTCCTAGCCACGAATACTTTCAGGGCCATCACAATCAACATCTTTATTACAGGTTTTCCCTAGGTCCTGTAGACCTTTTCCTTGGGTTAGTTTTTTGTTAGCAGTAAAGTTCTCTGTGGATTTTGGGGGACGATCTTTGATGAAGTACATATGAAAGTTTCACATTCATATACAATAAAGAGGCCACAAACCTACATGAAATTTGCAGTTTCAGAAAATACTGAGAAGTAAAATTCCTCTCACTGTTTTCTTTGGTAACTTAAGAAATAACATTTCTACCAAGAACATGACTACCTCCTGCTAAAAGGGCTTAATTTTGTCTGGCCTTTCTTGAAGATTGCTTATTAGGAATGACTATTTATTTGGTATTTTTTCTCTGTGACTTAAGACAGCAATGGAAAACTCAGGAAAAACTCCTTCACCATAAGAACAGCAGGATAAGGGAACCTGCTGCCTAGGGAAGTCATAGAATTCCATCCTTGAAGCTTTTCAGGAAGAGGAGGCTGGATAAGCAAGCATCTATCTGAGATGGTTTAGAAAGAGTAAGTCCTGTATCAATATGGAGTTGGACTAGATAATCCTTGAGGTCATCACTTCAGTGGAAGTTATCAGAGCCACAGAAATTATTTTTGTTGAATGAAAAGACATCAGTTTGATATTCTTAATTCAGTAGCAGTAAGATCTAGCATTCAGTTTAAACCTACTTTTTGACTTAAAGGTGTTTTCAGGAGAATTTTCTAGGATTCTTCAAGCTATGCCAAAGTAGTTAAAAGATGGAAATGAGAGCTAACAGACCAGAAGGGAAGGACTATCCTTCATATAGGGATTTGCTAAAAGCCTATTTTTTCTAGAGATTTCTTTGCTGAAGGGAAAACAGTAGAACTAATCTTAAAACACAGGATTCCTGCAATTATTGTAACCTGGAGGTGTATTCTTATATCATTCCAGACCAAGTACTCTCACAGAAAGAGTGCCCATGGTTGTGATACCCAACACAAACCAACAACATATAACTAAAATAAACATACTCCATTCATTGACTTCTACTAGAAATAACTGCAAATAGTAATCAACAAGTAGTCACGTTCTAGCCAACTTCCACCTTCAGCAAAATTTTACTGGGACAAAGTTCTTTGACTAATGCCCAAGAAGGATAAGAAATTGATTGTTGTATGTACATGTGGCATTAAAGAAGTAGCAAGCTTATAAAATTTGTTACCTTGAAAAATGCCTGAAGCAATTACCATGGTTATGCTTTCAAGCAGATATCTTAAACAAGTTTAGAACTCTGAATCAGATTCCTTGTTGTTAGGTACCAATGGATACATAATCCACATTTGTACATCTATAAAATTTAGCATTAGAAAAATATTTTTAATATACAATGTTTGTTTTTAAAAGGTTTGGCTCTAGAATGTCTAAAAGGATATAGACAATATGGTCATTAATCATGAAGGTCACTCCTTAAGCAATCCACCTTCATCTGTTTTTTAACTTGTTAGTAGCTTAGTGCAATTCTTGTGAACATAGTCAATGAAGGGAGGAGGGGGAAAAAATGTATGGCAAGCTGTATGAATTTCTCTTCTGTAAACTACATAAAGATTGGCTTGCTTCTTTAAAAATAGACCTGACAAATATTTATACTAGAAGCATGAACTTATTTTTCACTAAGGCTGCTTGCAAACATAGAAAAACCCAAAACCCAAAAAAGCAAAACAGCGCTTTAAAACATGGCATGCTCTTGTGCCGAGTCCAGTGCATGCCCCAAAGAGACAGTGCATTAGCTGCACCCAGTTTTCCCAATGTCTGTAGAGATTGGGGGGCTTTAGCGGGACTTTTTGGCGCTTTTATCTAATAGATGACTGAATCAGCTTTAGATAAAAATGCTAAAAAGCCCCGCTTAAGTGCCCGAGCTATACAGGTGCTGCAGAGCTCGCTCAACCCAACACTGCTGCTTTCGGTAAAGTGTAGGGTTTTTTTCCATATGTCTATCAGCACCGTAAGTGTTTAACTTAAATGTTCCTGACTTTATGGATGTAGTCAACCCCTTCCTAGTTCTCTTAAAATCAGTTCTACCCAATGCAGATTTCATCCCTGTATATGCCTATGCCCACACCTCTGACAGTACATAAGTCCTCTTCCCTCCTACAACCTACAGTTGAGTATTTCTAAGAAAATTACAATGGTAAATGTCTGAAAGATCTCTGTTAGAAAAATAGAATAAATTCTTGTTTTAGATGTCTTCATAGGCTTTACTATGTATTCCATAAATTCCTTAGGAGTTCCTGGAACTGTCACAGTGAGAAATGCCCTCAAAAGAAATTTAAAAACTTGGACTAAATGAAACAAGTTAAGGTTGGCTAATATTTTTCTTTCAAATAAATAACTTCAACAGCAAAAATTATTCTCATTATTTTTATTTTGGATTAATAGCATACTTCAGCCTAAATTCAGGAAATCCACAAAAGAGTACAGTTAAACCAGCAGGGTTTGGGGTGAGGAGTAGAAAGAAGCAGGAAGCCTTTCCCTCTCTCTCTTCCCCCCCACAGTTGTTAAAAAGGGAAGAGATGGGAAAGGAAAGCACAACCAGGTGCTTCACAACACAAGAGACACGCCAGCCAATGTGAAGCCAAACTTCCCTGCTGTACTCCTACACTAGTCAGTGTATGCTAGCAGGGTGCAGCATGCCTCCAGGAATTCTTCACTACTCATAAGAAAATAATTGAATATCAGAATTCTTCAGAGGTGGGGGTAACATTTTGGAGCATTTTAGGTTAATGCCACACCATCTGAGGACAGATGAATTGAGTATTATATAAAAACCCTTTAAAGAAAATCTAGCTATTGTTGAACCACAAAAAAATATATATATATTAGCTGAATTTAATCCATGTATCTAAAAAAGCAGGTTAATGGTGCTAAAAAGCCCCAAAAGCACATAAATAACAATATGAAGCAAATATATATCATGATAGTCCAATATACATTATGGTCTTATGCCTTAAGTTAGTCGATACAGTTATTTAAAACTCAAAGCATTTCTTTTGAAACCCAAATTTAGGAAGAATTCACTATAACCCACAAAATAGTTTTTATGACAATCTAATACTAAAGTCAACTTCTTAAGTTTTCAGAAAAAGTGCAGTTTCGATGAAAAATGACAAACTGATCTACTAAACAGATTTCTGCATACAAACTTTTAATGAAAACCCATTAAAGAAACATGGAGTAGTAGCAAGATTTTTTTTTTGTTACAGCATTGGATATACATGCAGCATTGTCAAATAGTATGCAGACTAGACAATAAAAATCTAAGATATAACCATAATTTGTAATAAATGCCTACTTTTCACTAAGGCAATGAATCAAAGTTCCATATTAAAATCTATTTGAATACAAAAATAAGTATTATTTTAACAAACAGGCAATGTATATATTTTCTAGCAAATTTGTTCTTTACTATCAAACCATTATGTAATAATATATAGTCAAAGGTTTGTTAAAATGGCACATCACAAATTTATTATACTGAAATATATTTAAAAGCTTATAATACATTAAACATGAGGTAACAGGTTCAAGTTCTGGTCGACAAGATAGTTTAAGACTTTCAAGATCTGTCAAAACTATAAAGTCTTCATATATTTACTCAAGCTTTTGAAAGCTTAAGTTCTATTCAACTGTTCTATAAGGTATTGAGAAATGGAATAAAGCCAACACAAACATATTATGGGGGGCAGGGGGAGGGGGGCAGGAAGAGACCACACGTTTTAAAAAGAGTGACTGGGAAAAGTCAAAACAACACTTGAGATCACCAACCTGCCTATTCAATTATAATCTTTGCTCCATTTTTCTAAGACTGAATAAGCAGCATTTCCTTGATTATTCACAAAGAACTGTGTGCTATTATTCACAAATGCAATGAAAAGCTACCTTTAAAATACTAGGTGCAGTTATGTCAGACTTATGAATATTTTTTCTCTTAAATTTTTGTCATTCTTAATTTCCGCACCCCCAACTCCAGTAGTGAAACCCCAGTTTTGGATTTTGAGGGTGTGGAAAATAATAAACAAAAATTAAAAATGAGGACTAAAATTTTAAAGTTTTCTGCCTGCATCAAGTTCTGGGAGCAGTTTTCTTTATTGTACATTACACATCAGCTTTGATTCATCTGTATGTTCCTGAAAATTTGTTTGCATCCGCATTACAAACCGTCTCGATAGAATTAAGTAGTAAAGGGTCAGGGAAATGTATTCATGACAATTTAAAAATGCTAATGATTATAGTTTAGACTATATTTCAGTTTGCTTTATATCCCAATTTCCAGCCACATTAATGGTGTGTACTAGACTGACAAGGAAAGGACGACACTGAACTGCTAAATAGTATTACACAATAATTCAGTGCTAACTACAGAAGTTACTTAAATATATACATTAGACAGGAAATGTAATTGTACAAGTTTATCTTTGTGAGTAAAGGTTGCATATTCTTTAGTATTAATCTCCCTAAAATGCATGACTGCAGTCATATTGCTTAGGAACAATTTTATTAATACTTTTCCACCAAGGATGAACTGCCAAGAAGTATTACTCAATAATTCAATGCTAACTACCAAGCTACCTCCAACATGTATATTAGGCAGAAGATGTAATTGCATGTGTTTATCTTTCTGTGTAAAGCTGGCACACTGTTTAATATCAATCTCCCTAACATTTTTACCTCAGTCATACTGCTTATGGACAGTTTTTAATATTTTTCAACTAAGGATAATCTGATATGACTGGACTAAATTCTAGTTGATTGAGCTCATGGGACATGAATGGAATTGCATACATATAATAAAAGTGGAATTTGTCTCAATATTTCAAATAATTCAATAAAGATATGAAAAAGTTAAAGTTCACCTAACAGCATAAACTATGCATTGATACTGAGGCTGGCAGTCAGACTTTGGGTACAATGCACACAGAAAGTAACTAAATAGGAAAGCAGTCCGACGTTATGCTGCTGAAATATTTGGCAAGTAGGCAAAATAAAAATCTCTCTACTGCCTATGCAAAGAAAGTAGAAAGAGGAAAGGTTATGCCTGCAAGTGGGAACATAGCTGCAAATGGGAACTTATTTTGCAGATGTGCAAACTGACTGAACACAACTAATACCAAAGTTTCAAACTAAAACACCATATCAAGGTCTAGGTAACCCCCACCTCCAAATCATGCAAAAAGCCACAAAAACCCTCTTCTATTAGCAAACCCTTCAAACAGCTCTACCACGAGCACATCAAATTCGAGATTCTTGTTAAACTGCTTCATAGTCCTTCATGACTCTACTCCTCCCTTACTTAACTGCATTGGCTGCCCCACTTTCTCTGCCCGGTCACTGAATCGAGGCTTATTTTCCTATTTGTCAGCTTCTTTCACATCGGTCCTGTGCCTGTTTCCCACAGCCCTGTGCATGTGCTACCACTACACCCACTCTTTGTATTCAAGTCTTTTAAAGTCCCACAACTACTGGAATAACTGCAGGGAAATGTGTTATATTGTCAACTCTGAGAAGTAACTGAGAGTAAGGTATATATTCTGTTTGTTGAAAGAAATAGACTAGATAAGCTAATTTTACCAAAATATAGACAATCACTATCTGTAGTCAACTATTATGTTGTAGTGTCTTCTCTCACCTTACCCTCTTTGTGCTCTACTTAGAAGTTGGGCTAGGCCTTCTTTGCTGTTTGAAAAGCACTAACAAGTTGTTTACACCTCTGGAAATAACACAACCACTCCGACATACAGAAAAGAACGCTCACATGCACTTTATTGTGCTAGAAATTATCTTTGTCAGGCAAAACAGATATCAAAACATCAGCTTTGTCAGTTCACATTTGCAAACGAAAGAGCCCTGTATTTGACAATTCCAGAGCAGCAGTAATTCTAGAAGTGCACTATTGTGACAATAGGAAGGTATACCTGCTTTGTTCTGTGTAGTTGTGCTATGTTCGTAACCCACCAGTGGTTATCAAGGCATCAGGAGAAACAAAGCAGTGACAGGTAAAATGACCCAGAGATCTACCCCATAGTGCCATTGAAATAAGGCAGGCACTACTGGGCAGAAGGAATGTAGGAAGGAATGTGATCCCTTATCTATAGTTTAGCTCTTGTTGAAATGCCTGGTTAATCTGAAATATTTAGCATACGTTGTAGCATGTAAGTGATTTTCTTATGGACATCTGAAATTAAACTACAGAGAAGAACTATCAGCATACAGCATTACACCAACTGGCACTACATCTGTCTTATTTGCCTGTTCAATGCTGCAGAAATCCCACCTCAGATCCACACAACCTGCTAATTTACTTCTGCAGTCTAATTTCAAATCTGTTCTGTGCATGCACTCAGGATTTGGTCCATTGAGTTTCATTAAATCTAATGACAAACAACTGCATAGCATCAAGGCAAATCGATTTAACTAATTTTGCCATAAGTAAAATCTATTTTCCAACTTAATATAGCTGTTCTTAGAAAACGTCATTATCTATCTATAAAAATCAGAAAAATACTTAATTCCAATATATTAAAGATTGCATTCTCATCATCCTCCATCAAAAAAATAACGACAAACTTTCAAATGAAGTGTTTTTGGAAAGAACTGTTTAAAAACAAAACAAACAAACAAAAAAGTACTCACTCTCTCTCAATGTGAAAAACCGGTATGTAAATAAATAGCCACATATGGGCCTTTCAGTAGAAATAAAAGTTATAGCCTATTGCAATCTTTATTTAACTATAGGTGTAAGCTATCTAAATTCAGCATAAACTAACTTCACAAGGTCACTTCCTTTGCATTTTCCTTTTCACATTTCTCAGAAACATGAATGGCACATTGGCCAACTTGTAAGAAGCCTTAGCAAAAGAAACGCTGGTCTTGTGAAAATCATCGCCATAATAAATGACCCTCACATACAGAGAGTCAATATCGGAAGACCAATACTAGCTAGTGAAGCCAAACAGTACAATAGAATATCAAGAACAGAAAACGCACAATACATACATGAAGATTTGCAGAACAAGTTATGCAACTGCTGTCATAGAATTTCAAAAAGTTACAAGTAATATTACATATGCTTAGTTTAAAAAAACATCAAAAAATGTGTTCAGTCATGCTCAGTGTAGATGTAGGTTCAATTGATATATCAGAAATAACTATTTACAGTAACTGTAATAGGAGAAGGCAGTTCATATAATGTTCTCAGTTTGTTTTCTTTTTAAATACCATAACTGGCGTTGTATTTTACTGCTTCTTCTTTTCACACAGAAATACTTGTAGAAAATTCAAGCACATCTATAACAAGTTTAAATAAATCCATTATACAGAACAGATTTAGGATATTCCTTCCTCATGCACATAGCAATGTCTCTTACAAAGCACCATTTTTTCTACATACACGCACACACACATTGTAAATGCATTGGTAACAGTTCAAGTATAAAAAAATAACACAATCACACTCTACTTTAAAATGTCATTTTTCTTAGTGCAAAATTATCACTATTGTAGCATTCAAAAATATAAGGCGAGGGTTTTTTTAGACAGTGGTAAACACATTCTTTATAAGGGACAAAACTGAATTTTTGAACAATTTGAACAAATTAAACGCCGTATCTGCTCACAGAAAAAAAAAAATCCTGATTTTTTTTTCTGTGCTTATTTCTCAAGATTCTGCTGTTTTCCTATCTTTGGTACAATGCAAGAGTTTTAAAACTTTTGGAAGAATTTCTCTGGGAGAGTCAAATCCATAAATTTCTGAAATATCTAATATTTCAAATGTCGCTGTAATTTTTATTAACTATGTAACACTTTCCCTTGTTCTCAGTATCTTCTGCTTAGACCAGTTGTCCAAATATTTATGATCATTTCTAAGGGTGCCTGTACACAGTAAGGAGGCTACTCCCATGCTCTGTAATTACAGCAAGTCAGAGTAGACTCTATTAATCTAGTCTGCTGGAGTGTGGTAATTTCTGTGCTCCAGCAGCCTCCTGCACCTCATGTATCGGCATCCCTGTGCTTAAAAATGGCCGTGGGGGGGCTTGAGCTAAAGCTCATTCAGCTAGTTCATGTGCCCCCACGGCCATTTTTAAGCTCAGGGACACTGATACATGAGACACTGCAGTGCCCCACCCCTGCTGCTGGAGCATGTGTAAAAGTGCCCCAAGCTGCTAGTTAGATCTAATTTAGCTCAAGACTTTCAACTTCAAATAAAAAATTGCCCCAACTTTTCTAAGGGGCTGTGAAGCAAAGCATGCTCAGTGGCATTCCTTCTTAGAGTACAGCTATAACTTTCTTTTATACTTTCTGGCGGAAAACCCAGATGAAGAATATCTAACTGTCAGAAAGATGTTTAATTAGGAGGTTGTTTTAAATCTATAATACTTCAGAATTAAGTAAGACCTCATTTTCCAGCAACTTATCATCAAAAGCCCAATGTCTAATTTGAAACAATTAATTTTGCTAAGCTCTTAGGCATTAAGTATTGATTCCTGTTAAAGGGACACACTTTGTGCTCAGGAATTAAAATGCTTGTAAAATAATGTTCATAATGTAAGAGAAAATCTACAAATATCAAAACACAGCAGATTTTTCAATATCATTTTTCTGTGGGGAGGAAATAACCCCACAAACCTACAGCAAGCCTAAAGTCAAGTCCCATTCTTTTTTTTCTTTCTTTTTTTTTTATTAGATTCTTTAATTTATAACTGTTGCACTTGGGAGTCATCTGAAGGAAAAAAAAAAGATCCACTTAACAACAAAAACAAACATGTATTACTTAATCAGGATGTGTGAATTGAATCTGTACCTATGTGTAAATGGCAATGCATTCTGGGTTGGTTCAGCCCTTGGTTCTGAGTTTTGTGTCACTTCTGGAGTTGTTCTTTCATCATCTGTTCCATTAATACTTTCTGGTGTTAAAGGAGACTGAATATCCCCTCCTGCTGATTCCTTAAGTAAAGAAAAAAAATAGAATTATACATTGAACTTATTTCACAATGTGCACACAGAAACTAACTAAATTAATGTAAGTGAATGGTTATTAATTTTAAGGTGATGTTAAGGTGAGGCTCCCCAAAACTATCCATCTTTTTCTATAAAGCCCTATGGTTTATACACAGAGTATGCGTTAACATGCGACACACAGTCTCCTGCTTATTGTTTTTCAGGAACTCTTTTTCTGCCCTCGTTTTCTCTTTAAAATTGGTACAGAGACTTAGCTGCTGGCATGCCCACGACTACAACTGTTACCTTTTATTTTATATTCTAGCAGTATGTCAAATTGCCTCACTTGAGGCATCTCACTACAAATGAAACTTAAAAGGTGGAAGCATCATTGTTGGTACAATCGCATCTTTGCCTGCACAATGAAATTAGAGCTTCACGTGAGCTTACCTGCAGTTCTTCCTCAGCCCGAGTTGCCTACCCTAACTCATACTGGTTAAGACACCTTGATTACATAGGAGCTCACTTAATTCCCCCAGGCAGGTTCCATTAGTGTTAGGTTCCTGGATTCTTGACCATGCTTAAAACTTATCTTCTAGGAAAGTGAACTGGTACTATTTGCATCATGCTGGACTATACCATTGAGAGCATTTCTGTTCTCCTGCAAGCAAATAGTACTTGCTTCTCTCTTTTGTCTGGGTGAGAAGCAGCAGTACATATTATTTAAGCCCCTGGGATGAAGTAGAAGATCTGGAGATGCTTCCCCATAGACCACATCCAGACAAGCAGGGACGTGCAGTATGCAGTGCCACAGACCCATCTACAGCGCCACACTGCATATGCAGGAGGCGTTCCCTGCACTACTACCTTGCAGCATCAGTTGTTTTTTTTTACCCTGGGAAATACAATATGCCTTTTATGGCTGTGTCCACATGAGCACAAATGTTTGTTTCCCTGGGCACAAGGTGTGCTGCTGCTACTTGTCCCCAGGGAAACAAACGCCCGTGCTCGTGTGGATGCGGCCATAAAAAGAAAATTTCTATCTTCCACTTCCACTCAGTGTTCCGTACAAAACTGAGTTAAATTGACCTTAATGGGAATCAAAGTGATAACCTTAAAGAAACCTTGAAACAACTATTTTAAATACGAGCCTTTTTGAGCTGCTACTTTTGAATCCAAGATACTCAATTTCAGGTTTTGAGACTTGAATCAGACAAAAAAAAAAAAAAAAAAAAAAAACCCAGCAAAAAAAATGCTCCCACGCCATTGTCTTTAATAAAACTAAAAGGGATATTTTCCTTCCCCACAGGAAAGATATTATTTATATCAAACCCTCAAGGTCAGAACTGTACTTTGCTGTCAACTTTTACTTTATTGCAGGGCCAACAGTATAGTAAAGTATTTAATCATTTTTGATTTACATACATAGTGTTCACCTTTTATTCACTGATTTGCATTAGTGGGGTGATATGGACGAATTTTAAAAGATAAATTTAGAAACATTTGCCTCATGTTTATGTTCTGTTACATGCTTGCAAAATGACAAAAACATATATAGAACGAGGGCCAGTCCGCCTAGTGGTTGAACTACGTGGCTGCCTAGGATGCCAAAATTAAATGCAGAACAAAAAAAACAGGAATATCATTCTAAATAACAGCCCTAGCTGGCTACAGCTCCACCTTGGGCTAAGACCTTTGGTTCGGTAAGGGGAGAAAGCCCTCTGAAAAGATCTCAGAGGAAAGATCACTAGAAGATGAACCCCTACTCCTATATCATCTTATAGCTTTATTTTCGGCTATATTGGAAGTGGTGGGGGTGCCAAGGTACATAGTTCGCCTAGGTCGCCAATTACCCTTGGATCAGTCCCACATAGAAGTATCTCTCTTACTCCATCATACCCAAATCCAGAATGGAAGGTTCATATTATAGGGAATAACTGCTAGTTTCTTTCAATGCTAATCTTAAAATTTTGTAATCCAAACTATATTGTTTATACTCTAAGGCCAGGTACAGACATTACACAAATTGGCATAAATGACCAAAAATGGTCCTCACCCATAAAAACAGAAGTTTGGGGCTGACAGACTGGTTTAAAAATGGCAGAATCTAGTCTAAGATAGACCTAGATCAATGAGGTATCAGACTTAAATCGGTTTATGCTAGACTGGCCTATCAAACTTCTGTACCAGATCCCTTATCGATTCATGTTAGGTCACTGTCCTCTGACATCCCAAGCACCTTTATGGCCCCCTCCTCCCACTAACCTTCCCTCAGGGAGATGCACTGGCACTTGCTGGGTACTCAGCTGCTCCGGGCTGTCACAGACCTGAGTCAGCACAAACACAGGCAGTCAGGGGTGCGGGGGGGAGGAGATGGGGGAAGGGAGACTTGCAACAGCAACAGGGGCACTCCATAGAAGGAAGGATTGGGCCCTTGAAGCTCAGCACCAATGATAGCCAAGAGGCCTGATCCTTCCTTCTAGGGAATGCCACCATCTGTGCTACCTTGTACAAGCTCCCAAGGCTATTGGGTGCATTCTGCTAGAGCTCAACACCAGTGGCAGACAGCAGGATGCACCCAGGAGGCTTAAGCCAGACAGTGCAGATAGGCATTCAAAAGAAAGAAGGATTAGGCACCTTGAAGCTTGGCACCAGCAGCAGCTAGCAGGATGTGCTTGGCAGCCTAGGAAGCTTGGCTGGACTGGGGCTCCATAGAAAAATGCATCAGGCCCCTTGGAGCTTGGCACCAGCAGCAGCCCTTGTATGGAGTGCCTGGGGCACCCCTGACTAGCTGCCAGGCACATGCCTCCAATCCCCTGCCTTCACTATGGACCTTCCCCCCCTCCACATACAGCCCTAAACTTCCAGTAGATTACCATGGCTCACTTCCCTCCACTGCCACTAGTTGAGCTGCCAGGTATGCCACCATGACCTGCTCTGGGGTTCTCCTGGAAGTCTAAGGTTGGGCATGGGGGAGGGTCTACAGTGATGGCAGGGGGTTGGGAGGCATGTGCCTGGCAGCCAATCCAGAGTGGCCCCCACTTAGCTGTGCTCAGCAGTCCCCAGCATGCTAGGAGGCATGCAGGAGTGCCTCCAACCTGCTGGCCTTGGCCAGTACACCACCTCCTTCAAAGGGGAACATGTGCTCTGCTTGCTCCCAATCCAACCTATACAACTTAGAGAAATACATGTAGGTTTGATGGATTCCATCTTGGCTTTTTTGAATGTCTGGACCTAGCCCAATTTTCACAATGGTAAAACTAATTTCTGAGTTTCCGTACTTGGAGAACTGCCTCAAGTGAGAGAAAACTAGTGAAACGTGTATACAGGCACATATTATTTGGGACCTACTGAAATCGTGTTTTTTGTGGATTCTGCAGAAAATGCAAAAATTTGGTGTTGCCCACAAAAACAGGCAATGTTCACAAAATATGAGGAAGGAAAGGCAGCTAGCTTACTCAAAATGAAATGCTGCCTCCATAATGGGAGCCAGCAGTCCTCATGGTGCTATGGCTGGCTGTGCAGTCTGCTGGAAGGGAAAAGGGGGAGGAGGAGGACCTGCTGGCACATGGGGGAGCCCAAGATGACTGCCATCCCTGCCCCTGAGTGGCTCAGAGGGCTGCCTGTCATGCAGCCCCACCTCCAGCAATTGGCCACGAGGGGTGTAGCCACATGACAAACAGCCCTCACAACCAATCTGTGGTGAGGGGTGAGGCCACTGGGCCCCCTTGGCCAGAGGCATAAGGAGCCCCTTGGCATGATAAGCCCTTGAAAATGGCAGCTGGCCCCATGATCTGTTTGCAAAAATTGGCTGGCTGCCTCCTCAAGTTGTGTAGACCCCTACATATTATGTTATCCTATATAAAATAATTAGTTAGCCAAAATGTTGTCCTTCAATAGACAAACCAGCTTCAGCTGAAGTTAAATGGAATTGTGCAGGCATATCTGGAGCTAGCATTTAGCCTAAACATTTTTTTTTTAAATACCTCAAAAGTACCTTAAAAGTGACTTAAAGTAATCTTCAAACTTTCAGCTAGAACTAGTTTAGGACTTGTTTTGGAATAAAACACATTGGGCGCATATACACATACCATTTAAGATACTTTAGCCCAATTTAAGCTGTACTAAGGGCACGTGTCTACACATGTGTGCCCTTAATGCACCTTAAAAATGGCAATTTTAGGCTATTCATGCCTAAATTTGATACCAGCAAAAACAGGTATCAAATTTAAGTTTGAATACCTAAAATGCATTAAGCAGACAAAGTTCCTTGGGTGAATCTGATATCTTTTATTAGACCAACCCAAATAGTTGGAGAATAGTTATTAAGCAAGCTTTCGGGGTCAAAAACCCTTCATCAGGCTAAGGAAGTTTCAGCAGTTGGTGTGTGCTCTTCCTGGATGGAATGAAGAAGAGCAGCACACACTAACTGCTGCTGAAACTTCCTTAGCCTGACGAAGGGTTTTTGAACCTGAAAGCTTGCTTAATAACTATTCTCCAACTATTTGGGTTGGTCTAATAAAAGATATCAGATTCACCCAAGGAACCTTGTCTGCCTATGTCCTTAGACCAACACGGCTACACCCCTGTAAAATGCATTAACGCACATGTAGATGCATTAAGGAGTATTATCACTGTGTATGGACTGACTTGAGACTAGCTTTAGTCCCACGGCAGTCTGTACACATGGTGTTAATGCACTTTAACATGTGAACGTGTAGACATGAGCCTAAATCACCTTAATACACATTAAGTTAATGTGCATTAAATTTAGGCATGCCTAAATGCACATGTAGACACATCCATTAAGACAAAAAGCTATTATGGTAGAGCAAACTCGTGTTGACAAATTAATATAAACAAGCCTCCTTTTGATTGGTGCAGCCATACCATCATTGCACATGAATCCATGAGAGAATACTGATAGACTGAAAGAATAGATCAGATCCTACTGGGTATTCCTCTACCCTGTAGGCTATAAAATACAAAAATCTGTGCTCCCACAT